GGAGGACTCACACTGGCAGAGCTCAGCAGTGCCTGTGACCAGCCATGGCCTGGCTCTGTCTGGGCTGGGGGAGTCCCTTTTGCTCCCTGTCAGAGGAAGCTCTCTGTCTGTCGGGGAGGGGGAGTGATGTTGGAGGAACCCCTGGCAAAAGCTGCCTCCCAGGTAGAGGGAACAGGATGGATTTGTGTCAGACCAGCTGATTTCCCTCTTTCTGCCTTCAGTCAGCTGCTGTGTGAGACAAGTGAAGGATTTTCCCAATGGGTTGTGGCTCCAGGGCAAAGCAGTCTGAGCTCCGGGGGCCTCAGGGGTTCATACAGGTCCTCACAGTGCTGGCTTGGCCCATGAAAAGCTGCATCGAGCTTCCCTGTTGCCCTTCAGAGGTGCCCCATGTCCTCTGTCTCGGAGCATTGTCCCAGCAGAGCTTTGCTGCGATGGGTAACCTGCTATTTTTAAAAACGCCGTGTGCCCCTGAGCCGGGTGAGCGGGGGATTTCCAGGGCAGGCAGAGCACAGCTCGGCTTTGGAGGCACAGCTCCTCACTGATAATACTCTGCTGTTGCAGCTCCGAGCCTGAAACCACTTCAGAGCCAAAGAAAACACAAAAGAGATCTCAGCAAGAGGCTTAAGAGAATCCAAAAACACGCGTTGGATGTGCATCCAAATACCTTAGTGGGGGGAGCAGCAGGTTAAAGGGCCTTTTGGGAATGGGCTGAGGAGACAACACAGTGCTTGTGCTTGGAGGACAAAGTGCTCAGGCTCGGGTGGGGTATGATATGAAGCTGGTTTTAGTGGGCTGGGAGATGGGCTGCACCAACAGGCAGTCCCAGGCCCTGGGGAGGTGTCACAGCTCCGTTCTCTCCAGCCTGGATGTGGCACTGAGAAGGAGACACAGCCAGGCAAGCTGCCACTCAGGCAGGGTGAGAGCATGCCAGTGGGTGACCCTGGTTGGGGTCCCGTTCTCACCCTGCTCCAGGCTGCCCCTCCCCAGCACAGTTTGCTGACCCACCACAGCTCTCCCGTGAGCTCCTGGCCTCGGTCACCACCCCAGAATAGGAGTTTGTGCTGAGCACGGTGCCCAGGGCAGAGCCTCAGCCTCTCCCCCCACCCCTGCAACCCGAACCCCCGACTTCCACCGCCGGTGATTTTGTCATCCGTGCTTGTTTGTTCCTCCTTGTTTCCTTTTTTTCTTTTCCAAGAAAACATTGCTGCGATGTTTATGTAGCTGCAGGGCACGAATCCACATCAAGGCTTGTATTTATATCCCACCTGGGAAGGGCGGTTGCATCAGCACATTTTGTAAAACGTTGAGCAAAGCAGCCCTTGCTGCAGGAAATGGTTTTTCTTCACACCAGATTGCCTCACCGCTCTGTGCCTTCCCAGCAATGCTGGATCATGGAGAAGGCTCCTGGGGTGCTCCTGGGGGATCTCTCCATGCTGGGGTTGCAGTGAGCTGGGATAGCTTCCCACCAGGCACCTCTCTGGCCCCTCTGCCCTGCACCAGGGCTTGCTGGGCCACTGGTATTTACACAAGGAGCAGCATCCCTCTAGTGCTGTCTGTTCCTGTTGGGATCTCCACTTCCCAGAGCCCTGGAGTGGGTGGGAGTGCCATAGGATAACGCCTGTGTTCTGTGTCCACCAAGGCTGTGGCTGAAGCCATGGCCTCAGCCATAATGCCACCCTTGGGCTCGAGCAGGGCACTCCTG